CTGGACTGGAGTGCAGTGGCACGATCTTGGCTCACTGCAACCTCTGCCACCCAGGTTCAAGCAATTCTCCTGCCTCAGCCTCTTAAGCAGCTGGGATTACAGGTACCCACCACCACACCTGGCTAATTTTTTGTATTTTTAGTAGAGAAAGGATTTCACCATGTTGGACAGTCTGGTCTCAAACTCTTGACCTCAGGTGATCCACCTGCCTTGGCCTCCCAAAGTTCTGGGATTACAGGCATAAGCCACCACCTCCAATCTATGTTGAGTATCTTTTCACGTGCTTATTGGCCATTTGTATATCTTCTTTGGAGAAATATTTCTTCAAGTCCTTTGCCCATTTTGTTTTTCAGAGAGAGATCTAGCTAGTTGCCCAGACTGGTCTCGAACTCCTAGGCTCAAGATATCCACCTGCATTAGCCTCTCAAGTAGCTGGGACAAGAGGTGTGTGTCACCACCACACCTGACTCCTCTTTTTGCCCCCTCCCCCCGCTGCTTTTTTTTTAAGACACGGTCTGGCTCTGTTACCCAGTACTGCGATCTTGATTCACTGCAACCTTCGCCTCCTGGGCTAAAGCGATTCTCTTGCCTCAGCCATCCAAGTAGCTGGGACCACAGTTGCCCACCTAGTTAGTGCCCAGCTAATTTTTGTTTTTTTAGTAGAGATGGGGTTTCACCATGTTGCCCAAGCTGGTCTCAAATGCCTGAGCTCAGGCAATCCGCCCACCTCAGCCTCCCAAAGTGCTGGGACCACAGGCGTGAACCACTGTGACCAGCCTCTTTGCCCATTTTTAATTGTTTTTTGTTTGTTTGTTGTGTTGTTGAGTTGTAGGACTTCTCTGTATATTCTGGATATCAATCCCTTATCAATATATAATTAGCAAATATTTTCTCCGATTCTGTGGGTTGTCTTTTTACTCTGTTGATAGTGCCTTTAGATGCAAAAAAAATTTTTAATTTTCATGAAGTCTATTTTGTCTATTTTTTCTTTTGTTGCCTGTGCTGTTGGTGCAATATCCAAGAAATCATTGCCAAAGCCAATGTTGTGAAGCTTATCCCCTATGTCTTCTTCTAAGAGTTTTATAGTTTTAGCTCTTATGTTTAGGTATTTGATCTATTTGGAAGTTAATTTTTGTATATAATGTAAGGAAAAGGTCCAACTTCATTTTTTTGCATGTAGATATCCAGTTTTCCCAACACCATTTGTTGAAAAGATTGTTCTTTCCCTACTGAATGGTCTTGGCACTCTTATCAAAAATCGTCGGACCATATACCTAAGAGTTTATTTCTGGGCTATTTTAACTTTGTAGTAAGTTTTTAAATCAGGCAGTGTGAGTTCTTCAGCTTTGTTCTTCTTTTTCACAATTATTTTAGCTATTTGAAGGGCCCTTGAGATTGCATCAGGGGGTGTTTAAAATGCACATCTGACCTTCCTACTGCCACCTTCCCAAACCCTGGGAGTACAGTAGGAGACCCCAGCAAGCCCAGGAGGACTTGTACGCCCTCTGGTCCTGTTCTGTGATACCCCAGCTGTTCTGGACCTGACTTGCTTCCGAGCCCTCACATGGACCAAGCACATCCCCTCAGGCCTCCCCTTTTACCAGCTGCCTTCTGTCCAGCAATTCTAACATTCTACAGCCTAACACGCTGTCTTTGGAGAAGCCCCCAATAATTTTTTTTTTTTGACAGGGTCTTACTCTGTCGCCCAGGCTGGAGTACAGTGGCATGATCATGGCTCATTCAGTCTATACCTTCCCAGGCTAAAGTGATCTTCCTACCTCAGGCTCCCAAATACTTGGGACTACAGGCATGCACCACCATGTATTTTTGCACCATGTATTTTTTTTTTTTTTTAGATGGAGTCCCACTCTGTCACTCATGCTAGAGTGCAATGGCACAATCTTGGCTCACTGCAACCTCTGCCTCCCAGGTTCAAGCAATTTTCTGCCTCAGCCTCCTGAGTAGCATTACAAGCACACACCACTACGCCTGGCTAATTTTTGTATTTTTAGTAGAGACAGCGTTTCACCATCTTGGCCAGGCTGGTCTTGAACTCCTGACCTTGTGATCCACCCACCTCAGCTTCCCAAAGTGCTGGAATTACAGGGATGAGCCACCATGCCTGGCCACACCATGTATTTTTTTTTTTTTTTTTGGTAGAGATGGGGTTTCACCATGTTGCCCAGACTAGTCTTGAACTCCTGGGCTCAAGTGATCTGCCCACCCTCAAAGTGTTAGGATTACAGGTGTGAGCCACCATGCCCAGCTACCCCCAGGAATCTTGTCTCAGCATCATACCAACAGCAGCCCCCATGCCCCTCCCCTCCTTGACCCCAGATGTGATTGTGTGTTTGCTTGTGTGGTTCTTGGTGGAAGTGCTGCCTCCTGCACTGGCCTGAAGGCTTCACAAAGCTGAGCAGCACATCTGCTTCACTTCTGCCTATTTCTCCGGGTCTGGGACAGTTCCTGGCTAACAATAGGACTGAAAAGCACTGTGGAGAGTGGCAAGGACAGGAAGAAGGGAGAGGGCTGCCCTCTGACTCAGTAGGATAAGCATGCCTGTCCAGGCCAAAGGTTGAGCAAAATAAAGAGTAGAAGCAGCAAAACCAACAGGTTACCAGCCAGCAACTGGGAGCTTTACCAAGATTTCGTGTTCCCTGCCTCTTCCTGCCTCTGGCTGTCTCTCCCTCACCTCCCTTTCCTGCCTCCCCTTCTTGTGCCTTCTTCCGCATCTTCCCACTCCTGCTTTATTTATGGATTTCTCTTTTTCTCTACCATTTTTAATGCATTTTCTTTTTATTCTGTTTCCTTTATCCTTAGCTATGAAAACAAGTGTTTTAGGAGTAAAATTTCATATTTTCGCTTCAGAATTAATTTTACATTCATTCTTAGCTTAACTTATGGCCATCTTCCAAAACTAAAAGGTAGAATTCCATGCCTGTTGTCTCCTCATGACCCCAGTGGCTCTGGCCTCCACCCTGCAGAGGTCCAAGCAAATAAGTAGGCTGAAAGTCCTATCTCCTGGGAACATGGACCGCCTCAGGGCATGTACTAAGCTGCCCCAGAGTAACTGAAGTTTGGAGAGCATTTCTCTATTGACTTGGAGACTGTTTAGGTCAAGGAGGCTACTCTAAAGCAAACTGCCCAAGGACTAGCTATTCAGTGGGAGAAAGGCATCCTGGAGGACCTGCCACCTGGAGATCCACTTCCATTTTGCTTGGAGGTAAGCACTGGAAGGCTGGGCAGACACCCTCCTGGGCCCGGGAAGGAGGAAGACACCTTTGCCTCCCCTCAGTACACTGCTGGTCCCATGTCCTGAAACCGGCTCCTCGTTCCTCTCTGGCCCAGGCGGCAGTGTGGCCAGGAGGGAGCAGAGGGAAAGAGACAAGCCTGCTAGCTGCAGCGGAGGGATCTGTGCTGAATTCACAGCACCACCCCCGAGCCATCTGGTGCCCTGGTCCTTGCCGGAAAGCAGTGGGATGCAGGCAGGAGAGAGAGAGGTTCGGAGCCACTGCATTGTCTCCCTCCCTACTCCACGCCACCCACCCTGGGCGGGAAACTGCATAGGCTCACGGCTTGCCATTGGGTAGGAGTAGTGGATGGTATGGGTTAAACATCTTTGGGTTGGCCTCAGCCAAGTCCAGACCTTGGAACAGGTGAGGGAAGACCATGCTTGCTCTTCTGTGGTTTTCCTAGAGAAGCTTATAAGTAATTCTGACTAGAGCAAGGGAGGTGGGAGGCAGATGGACCACCTTGGCCTAGAAGGCTGGGAATGGGGTGGCAACCCTGCTGTTGCCCACAGGGGCAGATGGTGGGTCCCTTTACTCTAGATGGTGCTCTGGGAGGATTCAGCTGATCAGACTGGAAGCTTGGGCATGCAAGCAATCCTGCATCTACACCGTACTCACTGCTGGGATGCCTCTCTGATGAGGACAGACTGGCGTCCGGAGGAGCTCTAGGCCAGGATGTGTTTCTGGGGCTGCTTTGAGTGCAGCATGGAAGCCCCAGGCCACTGTTCATATTCCCCAGTAGCTCACTCCCATCCCCACTGCCCACCCAAACTGCACCTTCCCATCTTCTACCCAGCAGGCTCAGGCCCATGCCTTGTCTCCTACTCCCAGCTGTCAGAATAGAAGCCTAATAAGGGCAACCTCCGGACCACCCTTCTGGTTCAGAGAGGGGTGGTGGGCCCAAATGTAAGTCACTAAAGAATGGAGAGGTGGACTTGCAGGCCTGAGCAGGCATGGGCATTACCAAAGCCACCAATGCCAATCCCTGGACTCCTGCTTTTCCTTCAGAGAAATCTGACATTCAGGAAATTCAAGTACTTGTCCAAAAATCCACATCTACAGAGAGAAGAGAATTGTCGTCCTGCCTTCTCCTCATCATTGGGGACTGAATGCCAATGCCTCTGCCTCCCTGGCGTCAGTGTATTGTCAGAGGAAGGGTCTCTTATGGGTGGTCAGAAATGTTCAGGCCTCAAACAGAAGCACCCAGGCTTTCTCTGTGGTTTCAGACAGGTTAAATTACTGGCTTGCCCTGAGCTACCAGGCCTGGAAAAATCTGGAAAGAAACGGCCTCCACCAAGAAGAGTATCTGGGACCTCCCTATTTGTTCAGAACCAGCTTCAGTCTGAGCAAAAATGGACTATGGATGGGGAAAATGAGGCAGAAAATCCCTGGGGGATGGCTGGCGACCAAGCCACTGGTCTAGGTCCACAGCTCTTTTGTCCAGAATAACCCAGAATAAGCCAAGACACAAGGAAGATGTGCCAAGGATTATTTTTCCTTGACAAGAACACCACTGAAGGCCAACTCTGGAGAAGCAAAGGTTCTACCTGGAAACCCCAGCAGAAAAGGGCATCCACCATGTATGAACTTGGAGAAGGGACCAGGTCAGCAATTCTCAAACTGGGTGCCATGGAACAACAGCTCTTAAGATGTTCTGTGAAAGTAAGTCTGGGAAAGGCTGCCGACCACAACCCTGTCCTGGAACTTTGCAATGCCCCTCAGAACACTGAAAGTCCTGTGGAATCTCACAGCAAAGAACCATTTCATTTCATTTGTTCAGCCGAGCATTTGCTTGAAGTATTTGGCTGAGACCTGCTCTTCACCAAACACAGTAGATCTGCAGTGAGATTGAGGCCCCATCTTCTCCTGGCCCTGAGCCTCAGCTTCCTCTCAGCACAATGAGGCAGATGGACTGAGTGTCTCCAAGGTCCTCCTACTCTGCTGTTTTTCCAGGCATAGCCAAAGGCTGGCTCCTTTCCTACCTCATTGAAGGTCCTGGGCTTGGAGAGCCAATACACAGAGGCTGTGGGGTGGTGAGGAATGGGATACCTACCAGGAGCCTGGGGCCACCATGTGTGGCTCTTCCTTAATCCCCACCCACCTGACCCAGAGTTGCCCAAGTCCTGTGCTACATCTCAGGGGAGGTGGAACCCAGAGGGGCAAGGCCAGCATGAGGAGGGAATGTCCCCATAGCAGTCCAGTCCACCTCCTCCCTGTTCCTGTGAGGTGCTTCTGGCTTCTCGCTGGTGGAAACACACAGGTGAGCTTCCCTGGCCTTAATTGTATTGTTCAAAATTCTGAATAGCAAGCGCTTACCTAACTGAACAGTGCAGAATGGCCTGTTTCTAATCACAGATGCAATAATCACGAGCGTGCACGCCTCCTCAGGAAGCCCCCACACTCCAGGAGCGACTCCAAAGGCACTGAGTCATCTCCCCACACCGACAGCTCCTTCCTCAGAATCTCACACTTACCTCTCACAAACCACACGTCCCACACCCACAGCACCTCATGGCATATATAGACCCTGACCTGTGAACAATTATTCTCACTCAGCCCTCTCCCACATGGTCCAAATGGCTCCAGCTGCTGTTAATCCCAGAGGCAGCCATGCCTGTGCCTGCAGCCAGCCTCTCCCCATCCTGTCCAAAGACAGATCCTTGTGGAGAGAACCAGAGGCTTCTACTCCCAGAGGAGTAGGAGAAAATCAGCAGACGTACTCCGTCCATTTCAAAGCGATGGCCTCAGCTCACTTGGCAAGGCACCCCACAGTCATTCAAAGCGTCCTCAACAAAGCCAGATTAGGGCTGTAGACCCAGAGTCCTCTTGTCCTCTTGGGCAAAAAAGAAGCCAAATTCACAGAAATGGTCCTACAGTGGCCTCTTGGTGAATGTAGGACACTGTCATCATCCTTGGTGAATGCTTGGTTCCCAGCCTGGGTCTTTACCCCAAGGTCATTTCTTTAGAGTGGGGTAGCTGCCCCACCACCTCAGGCCCCCAGCTGACTGGAACTAAAGCCCATAAAAGGTGCTTCCCAGAGCTCAGCTGGAAGGCAGTTTCTTGCCTCCAGTGAACCTTTCTCCCCTCACCAGCATCCTCCTCTAGGGCCTGCTGTCAAAGAGAGAGGCCTCCTGGCCTAGGTCAGGGAAGTTTGCCATGGTGAGGTCTGACCCCACACCAAATGAGCTCCATTGGGAAAAATTGTTCATAAGACTGTCTTTGCCCCTCTCCAAGGCCATTTTTCCAGACCAAACTTGATCCAGAGGGTTAGAAAGTATCTTCTACTCTCAGACTCTGCCCAAGCTTTCAGGGTATGCAGGAATCCCTTGGAACATCTGGGGACTGGCCCAGTTCTTTGCTACCACATCTTGGAACCAGGACACATCCCCATGGAAGACACAGATGCTGGTGGCCAAGGGAAATGACCAGGAAAAGAAAGTTGGTGAAAGAGGGGAAGAGAACCAGGGGAGGCATGGTAATGAGGTGGCAGGTGAGTGGGGAGCCGGCGCAGGGGTGGTTACCTGGGTGAGATGAGGGTTGGGGTTGAACCCACACTGGTTGCAGACCTTGTTGTGACACTGGGTGCAGGTGTTGAAGTTTGGCTGGCTGGGGGTCGATGTAAGGTCCGAAGTCTTGCATATGGGACATAGCGTGCTGCTGGGAAGGGGGGCGATCTGAGGGACGGAGTAGGGTGATGTGGGGGTGCTGCCTCTGTCCGGTGACACTGAGGGGGACCGCCCTGATCTCTGTGTCCTGCTGTCTACCTGCAGCGTCCTGCGGGGACCATCAGCCTCCTGGCCTGCTGGTCCCTGTGCCCTTGTCTCCCGTGGGCTCTCATGGCCAGGAGTAGTAGCAGAAGCCTGCTTCGGAGTTGGGGAAGCTGCTCTCTGGCTACCCAGGGGTTCCTTGGGGTCCAGTCTCCGGGAAGTGCTGAAATGACATTGAAAATGACTGTTAGAGACACATTTTAGAGAAGCAGCTTACAGAGGTCTCCACCAAGCTGGGTGATCCTGCCAAGCCCCACCACCACCCTCCTCCTCCTGCCCAGCAGCATCATCATGGCGCCCATTTGCTGTGTGCTGTGCTGAGCTTTGACAAGCGTCACTCACTTGAACCCTTAGCACCACATCATGTGGCAGGATCAGAACATGTCCTCTCACGTTCTGATAAAGTACAGACTCTGATTCAGTAGATCTGAGTAGGGTCTGCATTGTAAGAAGCTCTAAGGTGATGCCAATACTCTGGTCTGAGGCCCAAGCTTTGAGTACCAAGATTCTAAACCTACACAATAGAAATACCTAGGGTGGGCCAGGTGAGGTGGCTCAAGCCTGTAATCCCAGCACTTTGGGAGGCCGAGGTAGGCAGATCACTTGAGGTCAGGAGTTCAAGACCAGCCTGACCAACATGGTAAAACCCTGTCTCTACTAAAAATACAAAAATTAGCTGGGTATGGTAGCGCATGCCTGTAATCCCAGCTTCTTGGGAGGCTGAGATGGGAGAATCACTTGAACCGGGAGGCAGAGGTTGCAGTGAGCAGAGATCGTGCCTCTGCACACCAGCCTGGGCAACAGAGTGAGACCCTGTCCCAAAAAAAAAAAAAAAAAAAAGAAAGAAAAAGAAAAGAAAAGAAAAAAAGAAATACCTAGGGTGATATTTAAAATTCTAACTCCCAGACTGCATCCCAGTTGAATTACATAAAATCTGTGGAGGCAGGACCCTGGCATTAGTATTTTTTCCTCCCTAGGTGATTCCAACATACAGCTCAAGTTACTATACTATACCATACTATACTGAGATACTATACTGGCTGATCTGTTATATCTTGCCTTTTCTCCTTCAGAGGCTGCCCCTAGATCGCTGGGGATGGGGAGATACTGCAATGCCTAGTTAATGCCATCTCTTATACCAGGGGCCTGTCTCTACACAAAGGAGCCTTCCTTCTGGTGGCCCTCTGGCAAGCCTGATGCCAGACCAAATCTACCAAGATGGGATAAAGTGCCAGGCGTGATGGCTCAAGCCTGTAATCCCAGCATTTTGGGAGGCCGAGGCAGGTGGATCACGAGGTCAAGAGATCGAGACCATCCTGGTCAACACGGTGAAACCCCGTCTCTACTAAAAATACAAAACATTAGCTGGGCATGGTGGTGCGTGCCTGTAATCCCAGCTACTCAGGAGGCTGAGTAGGAGAATTGCCTGAACCCAGGAGGCGGAGGTTGCGGTGAGCCGAGATCGCACCATTGCACTCCAGCCTGGGTAACAAGAGCGCGAAACTCCGTCCCAAAAAAAAAAAAAAAAAAAAGGGATAAAGTGTTACTTTTCCACTAGTTTGAAGCTAGGTGGGGTTGGAGTTCCAGGATCCAGCCTTGAGGAAACACTGAGTGAGATCCAATGTGTCTAACCCCCACCTCCATCCCAATCTGGCTGCAGAGGAGCCAGCAGTGTTGGGCAGTTCCATGAGGTAGAAAGCAGAAAGCAAACCATCAGGCTAAAAGTCCATCATATATTCCTTCTCCTTTGACCCAACTTAAGTTCATCTCTGCAACTTTCCTCTTTTTCAGTTTAAAGGAGGATGAGCACAAAAAGCTAAAGACAATGCTTTATACTGCTTCCCTGAAATTCTCTCCTTGCTTTAGTCTGTACTCATTAGGGTGACACTGACACTCAGGAGACAGGGCCGACTTGCTGAGAGCAGTGAGGAGGCCCAGCCTGTGGAGGAGGCTGCCCTGGCTGCTTCTGCCTCAGTGCCCCAGGGTCTGACTGACAGGGGATGATTCTAAGTTTGCTGCCCCCATCTGAGGCCATCAGCTTGCCAAAAAGATTTAAGAGCCAACTGGTAGGGCATCTTAGGACAAGCCATTTAAGGGGAAAGATGAGAAGCCTGCCTGGGGACGCCCACCCCAAGACACTCTACAGTCCTTCCTCCCTTCTGAGGAACCGGGGTGTACAGAAACATCCTTGGTCTAATGAAGACTCTTCTGGGAAAAAAAAAAAAACACTATTAAATAGTGTTTAACATTACTGTCATCAACCATCAATAGCATATACCTAACCATCCAGTCACAGACCCACAAATTTCTTCTTCAGCAAGACAACCAGAGTTTGAGTCCAGCCCCTCAACACCCTCTTTGCCACTAGCTGTGAAGCCTAGCATGGTGGTGGCCACAGCATCTGTGGCCCACAATGGGAACCTGGGCTTCTGTGGGCCCTTTCAGTATACTAATTTCTAGGTGTCCTAAAGCAATATTTCCCACTTGGCTAAATTTATAGTTTCATTTTTCACTTAAATTATTTGGGACTGGAGTTTAAAGGCAGCCCTTGAAAGCAGATCAGAAGCTATTGAGAGCCTTTTTAACATATGAATGGGCTGCAGCCCTCTCTCCAGGCCCTGCAAGCCTTCTGAGAAACGTAGCCATTTCTACTCTATTTGTGTTGCCCAATAAGTAGCAGGCAATCTGTGTACACAGTGACTTTTTAACTCAATGTTGTATCACAATGTAACCTTCCTGGAGACATCTTAGGTGAAGATTAGAGTTCTAAACTCAGCTGTGGTAACAGTGAATAAACAAACAATGTCTCCTGCACCCAGCAAAGTCCGCACTGCAAGGGCAATGCTCCTGGCATTGATGTGTGCCCACATACCTCATAGTAGCCATCGTAACACCTGGAGATTGCAATATATGCCCATGGTCCTTGTACTCTCCCATCTTCCTGGATGCTTCCTCACACCTCTCCTTGATCCTCAAGCCTCCCAGCACCTCCTTCTGTCTCTTCACTGCCACTGATGACCTGCTGACCATCTCACAAAAAAGAAGGACCCACCAGAGGGAACCTGCACAACCTCAGCCTCCCTACCCCTGTCCCCAGTGTTCACCTGCCTCCTGATCCCAAGGCCCACTTCTAACCTTCTCAAATTCTCCCCTCTCCCTCATGATCCAATCATCCATTTCCTCCTCTCTATTGGATCACTTCAATTATCATACAAACAAGCTTCTCCCATCCAAAAAAAAAAAAAAGAGAAGCAGCAGCAGCACTTTGCTCCACTACTCCTTCAGCTACTGCCCCACTTCTCTGCTCTTCTTCACAGCAAAACTCCTTAAAATAATTATCTCCACTTGCCTGGCAAGGTGACTTGCACCTGTAATTCCATATTGGGAGACAGAGGCAGGAGGATCTCTTGAGCCCAGGAGATCAAGGTTACAGTGAGCTAGGACCACACCACTGCACGCCAGCCTGAGCAACAGAGCAATATTCTGTCTCTAAAATAAATAAATAAATAATAAAAGAAGCTGCCTCCACTCACTACCTCCCACTCCTCTCCTCTCTCCCTCTTAACCCGCCCCTCCAACCTGGCTTTTGCCCATCACTCCATAGACATTGCTCAGGTCACAGTCAGTAGGGACCTCCACATCGTCAAATCTAACAGTCACATCTCAGTTCCTCATCTCACTTGACCATCAGCAGCACTTGATCCTTGGTGATCACTCCCTCCTGCCTGAAATAAGTTCTCTACTTGTCTTCAGGAATACCACCTTCTCCTGAATTACCTCCCCCTGACGTGTCACACCTTCCCTGCCTGGCCACACTTTTCTAATCTCTTTTGCAGGTTCTTTCTCATCTGCCAACCCCAGAACCCCACTTCTTACACTGGAGAGACCTGGGGCTCAGTCTTTATACAAATTTGTTTCTCTGAGTATTCACAATCCCCAAGTCTCAAGAGTTACCCAGTCTCAGAGCTTTAAATCCACTTTCCATTGATATCCACCAAATGTCTATCTCTGGCCCAGAACTCTGCTCTGAACTCTTCACCTGTCTAACTGCCAACTCCACAACTTCACAGAGATGCCCTGTAGGCATCTCCACCTTGACATACCCAAGCTGAGCCCCTGATCTTCCCCCAAATGTGTGCCTCCTACTCTCCCTGTTGGTGCCATCTCTGCCTCCCTTCCTCTCTCATCCTAAGTCAATCTAGCAGTAAATCTTGTTGGTTTCTGAAGCTGGCCGCTACTATCTCCTCCCTCCTCCTCATCCTACTTGGTTTGAGCCATTCTCAGTTGCCAGGATAAGGCTTTTTTTGTTTTGTTTGTTTTTGAGAGAGTCTCCTTCTTTTGCCCAGGCTGGAGTGCAGTGGTACAATCTGGATGCACTGCAATGTAGCTGGGACTACCAGTGCGCACCAGCACATTTGGCTTATTTTTTGTATTTTTAGTAGAGTCGGGGTTTTGCCATGTTGGCCAGGCTGTTCTCGAACTCCTGACCTCAAGTGATCTGCCACCCTCGGCCTCCCAAAGTGCTAGGATTACAGACGTGAGCCACCACGCCCGGCCCCAGAATAAGGGTTTAAATACACAAATCAGGCCACTTCTCTGCTTTGTTTAAACTCTCCACTGGCTTCCTTTCCCTCCCAAAGGAAAAGTCAAAAGTCTTACAATAGCCCATGAGGCCCCATGAGATTTGGCCCCTTTCCCTCTGGCCTCATCTCTGATTACCATCTCCCTGATTCCACTTCTGTATGCCAGGCCCACTCCTGCCATGTGCATTTGGCCATTGGATTTGCTGTTCTTTCTGCGGACACTTGCTCTCTCTCAAGCCTTTGCTCTGGTGGCATCCTTTCAGGGACACTTACCCTGACTATTTAAAACTGTGCTTGTCTCCCTGCCTCTTTGTTCTCTGTGGCACTGAGCACCTTCTGACCCATCATATAACAAATGTACAGTTTTTTATATCCTCTGGGATCCCTGCATTAAACTGCCAGCTCTGTGTGTGCATGGCCTCCATGTGCTTTCTTCACAGCTTTCTCCCAGGGCCTACCATTGTGCCTGGTGCAAACTGGATGTTCAATGTGTATTTCCTGAATGGATGGACTGTAGGCACTAAGTGACTCAGGGCAGTAAAATGTGGCCCCAAAGTTTTAAAGCTAGGGAAACACGGCAAGTACCTGGCATGGCACTTGGCCCTT